TCCATCCATCTCTCCCCTTCCACCCATTATATATCCATCCATCTCCCCTCTTCCACCCATCATAGTTCCATCCATGTCTCCCCTTCCACCAATTATATGTCCATCAATCTATCCCCTTCCATTCATCATTTGTCCATCCATCTCTTCCCTTCCACCCATTATACGTCCATCCATCTCTCCCCCTCTCCCCACCATATGTCCATCCATCTCTCCCCTACCACCCATTATATGTCCATCCTTCTCTCCCCCTCTCCCCATCATTGTTCCATCCATCTCTCCCCCTCCACCCATCATTTGTCCATCCATCTCTTCCAAATCACAAATCATAGGTACATCAATCTCTCCCCCCCCACCCATTATATGTTCATCCATCTCTCCCCTTCCACCCATCATATGCCCATCCATCTCTCCCCTTCCACCCATTACATGTCCATCCATCTCTCCCCCTCTCTCCCCATATGTCCATCCATCTCTCCCCTTCCACCCATTATATGTCCATCCATCTCTCCCCTTCCACCCATCATATGCCCATCCATCTCTCCCCTTCCACCCATTATATGTCCATCCATCTCTCCCCTTCCACCCATCATATTTTCATCCATCTCTCCCCCTCCACCCATCATTTGTCCATCCATCTCTTCCCTTCAATCCATTATATGTCCATCCATCTCTCCTCATCTCCCCACCATTTGTCCATCCATCTCTTCCAAACCACAAATCATAGATCCATCAATCTCTCCCCCTCCACCCATTATATGTCCATCCGTCTCTTCCCTTTAACCCTTTATATGTCCATCCATCTCTCCCCCTCTCCCCACCATATGTCCATCCATCTCTCCCCCTCCACCCATCATAGTTCCATCCATCTCTCCCCTTCCACCCATTATATGTCCATCCATCTCTCCTCTTCCACCCATCATAGTTCCATCCATATCTCCCCTTCCACCTATTATATATTCATCAATCTCTTCCCTTCCATTCATCATTTGTCCATCCATCTTTTCCCTTCTACCCATTATACGTCCATCCATCTCTCCCCCTCTTCCCACCATATGTCCATCCATCTCTCCCCCTCCACCCATCATATGCCCATCCATCTCTCCCCTTCCATTCATCATTTGTCCATCCATCTCTTCCAAACCACAAATCATAGGTCCATCGATCTCTCCCCCTCCACCCATTATATGTCCATCCTTCTCTCCCCCTCTCCCCATCATAGTTCCATCCATCTCTCCACCTCCACCCATCATTTGTCCATCCATCTCTTCCAAACCACAAATAATAGGTCCATCAATCTCTCCCCCTCCACCCATTATATATTCATCCATTTCTCCCCTTCGACCCATCATTTGTCCATCCATCTTTTCCCTTCCACCCATTATACGTCCATCCATCTCTCCCCCTCTCCCCACCATATGTCCATCCATTTCTTCCCTTCCACCCATCATAGTTCCATCCATCTCTCCCCTTTCACCCATTATATATCCATCCATCTCTCCCCTTCCACCCATCATATGCCCATCCATCTCTCCCCTTCCACCCATTAGATGTCCATCCTTCTCTCCCCTTCCCCCATCATATTTCCATCCATCTCTCCCCCTTCACCCATCATTTGTCCATCCATATCTCCCCTTCCACCCATTATATGTCCATCCATCTATCCCTCTCTCACCCATATGTCCATCCATCTCTCCCCTTCCACCCATCATGTGTTCATCCATCTCTCCCCCTCCACCCATCATTTGTCCATCCATCTCTCCCCTTCCACCCATTATATTTCCATCCATCTCTCCCCCTCCACCCATCATTTGTCCATCATCCATCTCTCCCCCTCCACCCATCATAGTTCCATCCATCTCTCCCCTTTCACCCATTATATATCGATCCATCTCTCCCCTTCCACCCATCATATGCCCATCCATCTCTCCCCTTCCACCCATTAGATGTCCATCCATCTCTCCCCTTCCCCCCATCATATTTCCATCCATCTCTCCCCCTTCCCCCATCATTTGTCCATCCATATCTCCCCTTCCACCCATTATATGTCCATCCATCTCTCCTCTTCCACCCATCATAGTTCCATCCATATCTCCCCTTCCACCAATTATATGTCCACCCATCTCTACCCCTCTCCCCCCATATGTTCCTCCATCTCTCCCCTTCCACCCATCATATCTGCATCCATCTCTCCCCCTCCACCCATCATTTGTTCATCAATCACTTCCCTTCAATCCATTATATGTCCATCCATCTCTCCCCATCCCCCCACCATTTGTCCATCCATCTCTTCCAAACCACAAATCATAGGTCCATCAATCACTCCCCCTCCACCCATTATATGTCCATCCATCTCTCCCCTTCCACCCATCATATTTGCATCCATCTCTCCCCCTCCACCCATCATTTGTCCATCAATCACTTCCCTTCAATCCATTATATGTCCATCCATCTCTCCCCTTCCACCCATCATATTTGCATCCATCTCTCCCCCTCCACCCATCATTTGTCCATCAATCACTTCCCTTCCATCCATTATATGTCCATCCATCTCTCCCCCTCTCCCCACCATATGTCCATCCATATCTCCCCCTCCACCCATCATAGTTCCATCCATCTCTCCCTTTCAACCCATTATATGTCCATCCATATCTCCTCTTCCACCCATCATAGTTCCATCCATATCTCCCCTTCCACCCATTATATGTCCATCCATCTCTTCCCTTCAATCCATTATATGTCCATCCATCTCTTCCCTTCAATCCATTATATGTCCATCCATCTCTCCCCTTCCACCAATTATATGTCCATCCATCTCTTCCCTTTAACCCATTATATGTCCATCCATATCTCCCCCTCCCCCCATCATAGTTCCATCCATCTCTCCACCTCCACCCATCATTTTTCCATCCATCTCTTCCAAACCACAAATCATAGGTCCATCAATCTCTCCCCCTCCACCCATTATATATTCATCCATCTCTCCCCTTCGACCCATCATAAGTTTGTCATTAATAGCAATGTGTGTTATAAGAATATTTGCTAAAGCATTCATTGCTTAAATGATAATGTAGAGATATTTGTAAAGATTCGGCTGATATAACAAACTTTGATTTTGGATAAGTAGGAAACCAGATTTAAAACTTAAATTCAGGAAATCCTCTAGTATAGATACAAAATATTGCGAAATAAGACGAATCCACTGATAGCAAATAACCTGGGTGTTACGCGACAATAAACTCAATAAGTACGATGGAGAAGGATCACTCACAGTATATAGCTACATTTTACACTGCATTCAATCGTGTCACATAACACTTGTATATTTTTCTCTTATGCAATTTTACGAAGAAAATAAATTGTTTGGGATCGATGCTAACTTCTCCTCAGCCCTTGCCAATTAAGTATGTAGAGGTCTTTAATGTAAATCTGCGATTACTGTAAATATCAGCCAAGAGGTAGGTATAAACATAATTAATGACCTAAACAAGACCTCCACTCTGATTAACTCGTCAAATTAAGAAAATCAGTAGGCCCAGCTATTTGATGAACCAACATCCATATGATAAACAAAGTATGAGAAAACTGCCAACTTCAATCAGGGCATGAACTATCAATCAAGTTAGTTTGTTACCTATCACATTTGTATCGTACCGATATTGATTTGCGTACATGCCATATAACATATTCTCACCGTAGATTAAACCTGTCATCTCCGGGACAGTACAGTGTCTGACCAACTATCGAGGTTTCATAAAGTCTATCGAAAATTACATTGCGTAATGTATAGTGCATCTTGATTATCCATTGACATCTATGTCGAGTTGGACGATCAGACAGGCCAGAACAAATTGTAACGAACTTAATCAGGTGTAGATCCGGATCGAAAAGGTTATGGACTTACATCAAACATAAAAGAAAGACAAAAGTAGGAATATCATCGCTAAAGCACGAGCGAAAACTCTTCTCGGAGGCTACGGATAAAGCAAACATACTCAACGACCAATTTAAGAGGGTTTTCTCAAAAAAGGGCACCATCTCCAAGGAAGAGTTTGATGCATCTGGTATCATGGGCTCCATTCCCCCTGGTCCAGTTCTGGAAGACAACAACATCACTGTCAATGGCATCGACAAGCTACTAAGTAACCTGAACATACATAAGTCACCAGGACCAGAAAATATCTCACCCAGATTACTGAAGGAACTCCATAGGACCATTGCCACCCTGCTCCACCTTATCTTCAAGAAAACACTTGCCACAGAGGTAGTACCAGATGATTGGAGAACAGCCAACATCACCCCAGCCTACAACAAAGGCCAGCAATATGTAGCTGCAAACTATTGTCCGATCTCACTTACCTCTGTGTGCAGTAAGATAATGGAGCACATCGTCTCCACCAGCATCATGACCCATGGAGAACAAAACAACATCCTCTATGACCTTCAACACGGTTTTCGAAAGGGTAGATCCTGTGAAACCCAGTTAATAGAGTTTGTGGAAGACCTGACCTCCAACCTTCAAGACGGCCAGCAAACAGACATATTAATAATGGACTTTGCAAAGGCGTTTGATAAGGTCAACCACAGCCTGCTGACCCACAAACTTTACAACTACGGTATTCGAGGAAAAGTCAACACATGGACTAAGAACTGGCTCAGTGACAGAACCCAAGTAGTAGTTGTGGAAGGGGAGTCATCGAGTAAAGGCAGTGTTGAATCTGGAGTGCCACAGGGATCAGTACTAGGGCCAAGTTAATTCCTATATTACATCAACGTAATTTGCGATGGATGCAGGATCCCATACAGTGCTAGCATACTCTAACAACGGTCTTACAAGGGAGACGTACGCCATTTCCTTGATGCCGATATTCTTATATTTCTTCATAGGAAGCCCAGTACCCTGTTACCTTTCTCCACACTGTTGTATAAATGGACTTCCCATTTCAGGGTGTTGGATATAGTCACTCTAACGTACTTGGCATCTTTTAACTCTTCAAGCGGATGTCCGTGAAGGGTGTGAGTTGTCTTGATAGGCTGCCTCTCGTTGGTGGGTCTAAGGACGTTGCATTTGTCCGGATGAAACTGCATGCTCCAGTTTCTTTCCCAGATGGCATGTTTGTTCAGGTCTTCTTGGAGGGTCTTTGCACAATCGGCTGATCTGATGGTAAGATAAACAATGGTGTCGTCTGCAAAAAGTCGAATGGTTGAGTGTAGGTATGGAACAACGTCGAGCCGCGAGATATGTCACAAACCGAAGGCGAAACACCTCAAGTGTAACAGACATGATCCAAAAGCTAGGTTGGCAATCATTACAACAGAGAAGGAAGGAAGCCAAGCTGGTAATGATGTATAAGATTGACCGAGAACTGGTAGCCATCAGGAAAGATATGTTATTACCACCAAGGATGATAGGTCGAACAACACACAGCCAATCTTTCCAATTAACCGATCGCCAGTCGCATTGACACAAGGAAGGCATCTTTCTTCCCAAACACCGTGCGCGATTGTAATGCCTTGCCTCCTGATATAGTGGAAGAGGAGACACTCAGTGGCTTTAAAGGCCGAGTGTCACGCCTCTAAACAATTCAAGGAACTTTTATCTATTTTAACTTTTTAACCTATCCTCACGTGTAGTGCACACTCTAAAACTTTGCAGTATCTTCAACCAGTTGAAGGAGGCAAATACAAGGAAGAAGAAGAGAAGAAGCTCATTGAAAAATTAACTCGCGACTCTATTTTTGCCCAGACATTATGAGCAAGTTTATTGATGCACGTGCTCATTTCACCCCGAGGACCATGATTTTATGGCCAACGACCTGTTTTAAGAACAGTGTTAAGAATAGGCTTCCCTCTGATTCGCGATATTCTCCTACTTTTTGCCATGACATCCTATTTGTATGTAGAAACATTATCGATGGTTACCCCCAAACTTTCTTAACGAAAATATATTGGACACATGTCCTGTGGCTGATAATGCATGGAGAAAGCAAATAAGGTCCAATAAGTTAGTTTGGATGGTAACTAATACGTTTGGCAAACTTTAAGACGGTTTGTTCCATTCATTCTGACTTCAATTTAAGGGACATTTCTTGTTAAAATTCTTATCACAAGCAATATTTTGATGCATTTTTGGTATGTGTAATAAAACCAGTTTCTCTTTACACTTGTTCATAGGTTAACTCTGTATCCATACGAGTAGCATCAAGTTTGATTGACTCCAAGGCGTTTCATTATCTTTGGGTAATTCACATTTACAAAAATTGTGCGTATACACGTTATATGTATTATCTCGCGAAATACTCTGCCAATTCTTTATAACAACATCCGAGCCAAATTATTCTTATAGAGCTTCGTATATACTCCTAACTTTGTTAAAGACCAAATAGGATTGCCGTTAAACCTGTTTATGATCAGTAACCGTTATGCTATCTTAATCATTGAAGAATACGTAAAGATTAAATATCTAAGAGTCAGCCGGCTTTGAAAAGGGAATTTATTATGTCCAATGGTGATTTAAGAGGATTTTCCATTTTTTGTCATTAGAAACTTTCCTTGGGTTATCATTTTGTAAGATGACACGTCTAAGGCTCAATCTGTTTTGAAAAAAGAAGTCAATCCCTCTTATGGTGCTTTGATATCATTTACAATTTCTATATTATTAGAAATGTTATTTATGTTTTCTTCAAGCTATGATATATCAGAGTCAAACTGCCTTGAAAATAGAAGTTATACTGTTTAATGGTGATACAAGCTAATTCCCCAATTCTTCTCCGTTTGATTGTCGTTGAACATATTAGTCACTGCTTGTCTTTTCCTTTCGATCAAGCCATATCACGTCCTCTAAAAGATATAAATTTTATGATAGAAACCGATTCTTTACCAATATCACATACAATATAGATAAACCATTGAGGTACTCGTGTTCCGGCGTTTTACAGTTAGATTATCTACATCTATCCATGGCTGTTTTCTGTCTCGTGTTCCGGCGTTTTACAGTTAGATTATCTACATCTATCCATGGCTGTTTTCTGTCTCGTGTTCCGGCGTTTTACAGTTAGATTATATACATCTATCCATGGCTGTTTTCTGTCTCGTGTTCCGGCGTTTTACAGTTAGATTATAT